TTCATATGAAACGGGGAATCTTAGAAGGACAGTTGAAGTTAAAGTTTAGATGAAGGTAGACCAAAGTCTGGCGCAGAAGATGACGTGCCGAAGACTATCGTTAGCTTTGCGGACATACTGGAATATTACTGTGAGAAATTGATGATCAAGACATATAGATATCCGCCCGAGATTTCGTTTGACTGTAGCCATGTTTCTTGTCAGAATAGTTCTCTGATGTTCAAGATAACAGAAAAGCAGAGTTCGTTAAGGGGAGAAATTCTTCTTGGTAAAGTTTGTTAAGGGATGACCCCTTAAGTCCGCGAAACCTTGTAGATCAATCATTCGAAAGGAATCAGTATATGGTTTGAACTGCCGTAGGGCGAAGAACCTTTGATGAGATATCGTCATAGACGTTGAAGTATAAAAGTAATGCTTTGCCATGAAATCATCCTGTAACGTTGCTCTATACGTTTTTCGGTTCACTTAAATTACTTGGCACAGTCACAGTGTCCAGTTCGTGAATGATTGCAGTGGGGGTCACCAAACTATGGCCTGAGGCCACATCCGGCCCGTTGCTATATAGGATATAGGTTCCAGCCGTCTGAAGCTTACATAAATCTCGTATTCCTGGTAAGTCGTTCCTTGACAGCAACGAATCTGATTTGATCTCGCCTTGGGACGTCGCGCAAGTTTCCGGATCTTTCAACTTGCTGGTCGCATTTACCTCATTTCGCGCTGTTCTCCTGGATGTTGCCAGTTGGAGGCGGAGTTTGTCACCACCATGAAATGGTGCGAATCAATGCCAGGGTGTCGTGAAGAGTGCTTCGCCACTTCTTGCCGACCAATAAGTGGTCTAACTGGCATCTGATGCGGTTGCCTGACGCTGTACACGTCAGCTGATGAATTTGAAGGTGGGGAAACAGCGCCTCCCTCCACCCGACGATGGAACAGGCCTGCTGCTTTCACTTCCACTTAAGTTCAGTAAAGTGATTTTTCGGTTATTGCATTTGCTGCAGTTTAACATTTTTATTCATTATATATCATTTTCCAGTGTAAAAGAGCATATATTTTAAGTGCCATATGCTGATTACCCAAAAGGGATAAAAATCACACGTATTTATTTATTTGTAAAGTCAGTTTTTTGCTTTGCAAAAAATGTGTAAATATGCGATGTGGCCTTCTTACTGCAAATTCGCTGAGCCCTGCTGAACAGTAAGCAACGGCGCTCGAGTACAAAATAGCCGCTAGTAAGCTAGTTCACTGAAACCCGATGTACTTGTTCTTCCAGCTGTTCCTCGTAGATCTGCTGCATACGAACAGTGCTTTGATATTTCAATACCGACATCAAATAGCAGTGAATGCCACCCTCTTATCAGAGGCTTGAAAACAGTATGCGTTTTTCCCATTGATCTTTGCGTAACTCACCACGCTCTGACTGTAAGTACCAGGGACCTTCATTTTCTGATTTGAGGAAGGTGACTTCCTTCTTTGTGAGGATTCAGTAAACGGTGATCATCAATATTTCTGTCCAAATCTGTGTTTAAGGTGTTTGCTTGCGTCAAAATGTCTTATTATCAGTATCCGACCGTTTTGGAGTTCGTTACAAACCTTCACAATTACGCCGGCGACTTCGGACGACTTTCTAGCCCGAATTCAGCCCTGGCATTCTTCGTCGTTGTCGGCTTTCTGAACAGCTAGGATGAGTGACTGCGTGCATCGTCGTCATTTAAACTCCGCGCCAGAAATTGCAGTGCTTGAATTTGTGATGACGCAAGATGAAAAGAGAATCAACATTATTCTATGCATTTTTCACTGCTCGCGCGAAGGAAATACTTTCGAACGATCGCGCGGGTATTTGAGGTATATCTTTTCATGTATATATTCGATGTTGGCGTGCACACCGTCGGCTTCGGCAGTCGGATTTCCACAAGAGAATCTTGTCATGCCATTGCCTTAGTTCTGAAAAAGTATTGTAGCTTTTGCATCCCAAATATGAAGTCATAAATCATAAACTGGCTCCGTTGTTGAAAGTATCGGTTGATAGTAGAATGCCAAATTTGGGGTTGTGGTGGATCTGACGACTGAAAGAGAATAAGCGTGTAATTTCAGCCAAAATGGAGATTGGAAAGTGGCAGAAGAGCGTGTATAAAGGCACAAGGCATTATTGGCCCAGTTGACGCAACGACCAACGTCCGTCGTCCTGATGGTCGTGTTCTTCGTCGGTCGGTCGGCTGCATGGTGGTCAAGGCTGTCTGGTGCGCGTCGTGAGGTGTGAGAGTGAGCCATGAGCTGGCCCGGCCGTCGTCGTCATGCCGAGCTGCATTCCAAACGACCAAGCCGTGATTCAATGACAAAAAAGTGTGTTTTTCGGCGGCACACGAGGCGCGCGCGTTTCGGCCCTTGGCCCGGTTGTTGCCGACGACGAAACGGGGAAGAAGTGTGCATCGAGGAGACGGCCGTCATCGCCTCACCGCCTCGTCGCCTCACCACACCACAACAGCAGCAACGGTTTTGCACCCCGCTCGGATCGGCTCGGTTCAGTTCGGTTCGACGACACTCCTCGGCGTGACGGCCGACCGACCGACCGACAGACGCCTGCTCTTGGTTTTTTAACCTCGCTCGTCGCTAGCTTCGGTTGAGGGGAAATTGGACGACGGACGGACGAGCGTACTCCTCAGCCGCAGTGATCATCTAGCATACCGCTTTAAGACACTTACTCTACTAATTACACATAAAGTAAACAGGGCGGCCTTCTTCCTGACGAACAGGCACCGCCTTGAAGCATAGTATCGACGGATATGTGACTGAAATCTGAGGCGTCTTCACTTTCGAAACCGAGCTTAAGGATGTGTTTCAGTTTGTGTTTTATGAATCTCAGCGACGGGATGGAATAAAGCAGTCTGCTTTTCGGTGGTAACGGGGAAATTGTCGAACATCGATCGCACTTTGTGGCTTTCGTTTCACTTCGGTGCCGTCCACGTCGACCAATCGGCGTG